AGAGCGCACAATCATCTTTTATCATCTTTGGATGATAAGAGAGACTCTCTTTTTTCTGGAAAGTTGTTCATTCATTTGGCTACTTTATTTGATGTTAATTGAAAGATGAGCTGAGTTACACTTCTGAGATGTTCATTATACTTATTAATCCGTTTAATAGTATTGCTTTTTTTGTAAAATTATTGTTACTTTTGTTATTGTGTTTACCCTTCAACTCAATTAATTGTATTAAAATAGTGAATCTTCAGGAATCAATTAGTGAACTCGAAGATTATGTTAAAAACTTGACTGCTCAACTACGAGAAACTGAATTGCGTTTATCTAAAGTCGAAGATGATTGTCAATGTGGATTGCATTATCAACAATCAGAATCCAATAGAAATAATTTAAATCATAAAATATCTATTGTCAATTATCAACTTGCTAATCGTGTGAATAATAGTTCTGTTAATTTAAATTTAAATTTAAACTGTTTATCGTCAAATGGCTCTGCAATTGAAAATGGATCAAGTTGGACATCAAATTGTGATACATGCAAATGTATAAATGGTTCAATTGATTGTAGGCGAGTCAAGTGTCCATCACTCAATTGTAAATCATCGTATTATTTAAATGATAAAGATTGTTGTCCAGTTTGTCATAAGAAGTGCTTAAAGGATGGCAAATACATTGAACATGGTGATGTTTATATTAAAGATTGTGTTAAATGTGTTTGTGAAAGTGGATCATTAAGATGCAAAAGGATTAATCCATCGACTTATTGTCCACCATTGAATTGTCCAGTTGATAAACAATTTAAAAAAGATGGTGAATGTTGTAAATATTGTTTAGGTGAGTTTAGTTCACTTTGGTTTAGTTTTACTTTGATCTGAATATTTTTCTGAAAGTTTTCAATTTATTTCATCTAATTTTTCATCTTCCATAACTTTTTCTTTTCATTATAAGATTATGATTTTTGTGGCCAAGGACATGATTGTCATCCAAATGCAAGTTGTCACAATTTAAAAACTGAATATACATGTAAATGTAAATCAGGTTTTTGGGGAAATGGTAAAGATTGTCATGATGTTAATGAATGCCTTGAACTTGGTGGAATCAATGGTCATTTATGTCGAGATAATTCAAAGTGTGTTAATACAAATGGATCTTATTATTGTCAATGTTTACCTGGATTTAAGAGAAGAGACTCACTCAATTGCATCGGTAAATTTATTTTATTATTGACTTTGTTCATTATTTTAATTGATACTTTTATTTTTATTTTTATTGTAATAATAGATATAAATGAATGTGAATCTGGTGGGAATCATAAATGCAATGAAAATGCAGCCTGTATAAATACTGAAGGAAGTTATTATTGCAAATGTTTACCAGGATATACTGGAAATGGAACTCATTGTAATCGTAAGTCCTTTTTCGAAGTTGGTATCCGTTCAATGTAATATTAACATTTAATGATTTGAATTTTATAGCAATTTGCAATAAAAAATGTGCCAATGGAGGTAAATGTATTGGACCAGATAAATGTTCATGTAGACGAGGATTTTATGGAAATTATTGTGAAAAAGGTTTGTCTTTTCTTCTGATCATGCCTTTTTAAATCAAGTTTTTTATCGTTAAGCCTGAGTTTCTTATATCTTCTACATTATTATTTTTATCCAGATATTGACGAATGTTCATTGAATATTCATCATTGTCCAGTAAACTCTGAATGTATTAACAAACCTGGTTGGTATTACTGTCAATGTTTGTCTGGTTATACAAGTTTAATTGAAAGAAACGATTCCAATTATCAATTGAAATGTATTGGTGAGTATTAAGGTTACAATGTAAACCTTTTGACGCCATCAAGTCTAGACATTTGTCTTGTCTTTATTTATACATTTGTATTAATTTTTTGTTAACCAATTTTTTACCCAATTTTTACTCTTAACCAGATTCGGATGAATGCAATGAAGGAATAGATACTTGTGATGAAAACACAATTTGTGTTAATACCGAAGGAAGTTATAGATGTGATTGTCCGTCAACTATATCATCGTCATCACAATCACAATTACAATCGCTATCACTGTCGTCTTCATCATCATCCTCTGACTGTTCCAAAGACTGTGTCTATCTTGGTCAAAGACGTTCACATAATGAAACATGGGAATCAGAAATTGATTCATGTTCTCAATGTTCCTGTTCTTCAGGCGTTACTAATTGTTCAAAATTAGAATGCGATTGTTCTAATCCTAATCATGTTAATATTGATTGTTGTCCTAAATGTCAAACAACTGGAGACTGTGTTGATCAAGAGAATGATAAATTGAAATATAAAAATGGTGAAAATTGGTTATATAAATGTAAATCATGTCAATGCTCGGTAAGTTGATAACGATTTAACACTTTCTTTTCATTTTCATAATTGATTCATCTTTTGATGCCAAGATATTTATGGTTATAACTGGCAACAAACGAAATGACATTTAACTTTTTGGCTCATTGTTAATGTATTAATGTTAGTTTGTTGTTGGTATTAGCTATAAGTTATTGTAAGTTATTGGTAATAAGGTTGGTCAAAATAAACTAACAAACAAATTTTTTGTACTCTACAGTTTGGTGAAGTTGATTGTTATGACATTGATTGTCCACCAGTACAGTGTAATAACCCAATAAAAGGTGAAGATGATTGTTGTCCACGCTGTGAAGATGATCCATGTGAAGACTTGTCGCCAAGTTCATCAACAGCTTCATTTGACAGAAAAATATTTACATCAAAATTAAAATCTCAATCTCAACGTAAAAATGTGACTCAATATAAACCTTCTAGTTCATCATCACCATCATCATCAAGACCAATAATAATAATTAAGCCCGGAATCTCAATAAACTCAACAATCTCTCATTACAATAAACATAATCCTGGTTGTATGTATCTTGGCAAATCTTATGAAAATGGACAAAAAATTGCAATTAAAAAAGATCCTTGTGCTTCTTGTAAATGCAAGGTAAGTCGAGATATGAAACTAATTTAGACGATCATGTTTATTGTTGCCAAGTACAGTTTGTAACAGTTGAACAGTTGAATAAGAAGAAAGGATTTTATCAGACTTCCAATAAGAATATTTTATTCACTTTCTTTTCTCTCTCTCTCTCTTACTTTTAATCTCCTTCATCATCATCATCATAATCATTTTATGCATTCATAACATCCTTCATCTTCTTCTCCCCAAATGTCTTTCCTCGACCACAAGGTGTTATCCATCGCCCTCTCTTTCCTTTCTTCCATCTCTTTCTCTCTCCATTACTCTCTTCTTCCCCTCTCATGTGTCGCGTGTGCAGGAGCATTGGACTACCGGTGACTGTAGCACGCGTCACGCGCTTTTACCTTCATCTTCTTGTTTGAAGAAAGTAGTGTAACTGTGACTCGTGCCAGTGTCGAGTTCACCTGGTATTTTCTCTTCTCTTTTTTTCTTCATCGCCAGTAACATTATCTTTTCTTTTGATCCTCATCCTCATAGGCATCTGCTTATTCCCTTCTATTACACTCTTAACAGTGATCTATTGTAATGTTATTTAGATTGCCCCTTCATTTCTCTCTCTCTCTCTTTTCTCTTTCATTTTCATCAACTTTTTCTTCTTCCTTTTTAATTCACCTTTACCTTCTGATCATCTTTAATTCTCCCTCAAAATCAATCAAACAGTTACATTGCAATCAAAATGACCAAACAAGAAAAAAGTCAATTTTCTCTATGATATTTTTCATCCGTTATTTGCTTATTTTCATTTCCATTGCCTTAATCCATACACAAATTGAGGTCGAACACACATTTGACCTGAAATCAACATTCATAAGTAAAATGTGTTTGTACTTGAAATGAACAATTTTAGGGTAAAAAACATAAACTTTACTCTCTTCAAAGATCTCAATATTCATAGATGTTTTCATTGTTATTTTAGGTAAAAATATTGACAAAAATTATCCTTTATTTACTTAAAAACTAAACATTTAAACAGATTGACAGGCAAATTATTAGAATGAAATTATAATATGAAAAATGGGTTTCAGTGCTTTACCTCTTTACTAGATTCATTATAATACAGATTGACAACAGCAAACAATAACAATAACCAGTCAACACAATTATAATAATTATTAACTTACTTTAAAAGGGAATCAACAAAACAAAAAAATGAAAGAAAAAGTAAAGTCAATAATGATGATGATATTAAATTTCATTGTAATTCAATAACTTTTTGCCTGAAGCCATTTTATGGTCAAAAATGTAAGCATTTTTCAGTAAATTTTGCATCAAAATAATAACTGAACTGATAAATCCGAATGTTTCATAAAATTGTTGTTGCCTGAAGAGTTTCCAATATTAAAATCCATATTATGATGAAAGTTATTAATTATTGATATAAATAAATGAATGATTCATAAAATAACGGTTATGTTATATGCCATTGAACTTGATCATGTTTTTATTCCTGTCCTTCAATTTATAGTAACTTCATCATCATCTCATCATCATAATCATAACCATGTCACTCTCACTCTCACTCATTATTCCTCTCTCTCTCATCCTCTTTCCTCCCTCCCTCCCTCTCTTCCTCTGTCGGTCTCACGACACCTTAACTTTGTTTGTTTACCTTTTCATTTACATGGAAACCACAATAACAATTCAATGCTGTTTCATTTCTTTCATTTCATTATTCCTTAACTTTCTTTTCAATTTTAACCAATTAATTCAAATCAATTAATCCTAATCAACTAATCATATTTATTTCTTTCCTTTTGCATCATTCTTATACCAAATGATTAATTGAACCAATTAATATCCAGATAACCCAAAGTGAACGTTCAGCTCAATCTATAAGATCTTCATGTTTTAACAGTAACAATCGGTAAATGTTTGTGATTGATTAAACCAAAGCAATTAAATGCACAATCAGTTATTTGCCTGCACGCTTACCAAAGCATTTGCATGAATTTCAATTTCTTTTGCTATTTGCATGAAAAAATCTCTAAAATTTGAATCTCTTTTATTCCAATGCACATCATTTCACTTTTTTATAAATCATTTTTATATTTTATTTTGCATTTTACAATTCATTTGATTATTCATTAATTTTTGATTTTGCTCTTTTGTCAAACCATTTATTCATTGCCTCTTGTGTTTATCATTTTTACATGTCAATTGCAAGACTCGCATTAATCATCATCTTCTTGTAAACAACAATCAACTAATTATGGTTAACCAAGTCATTATTATTAACAAAATGGTTAACAATAAAAATATGTTGACCGCCTGTTGTGCTAGTTACATATACATTTATATTGTTATTACAATAATAACGTTAATAGTTGGTTTGAACTTGAAACAAAACATTAATTACTTCAAAAGTCTATTTTTACAATAATCAGTCAAGAGTAATGTAGACAAATGAGCAATTATCAATGATTAATTCAATAATGATAATAATAATCATCTACAATTCATTGGCACTTTTTACTGCTTCTTAAGCTTCACTCAACACACACCAAACAATATATAATAAACACACAAAATGCTTATTTTCACCTCAAAATCACTTTACCTTTGCATGAATATCACTATTTTTATCCCAAAAAAATATTCAATAATAATTAATATTCTTCTTCTTCCTTTTCCAATTAATCAACAGAATGGCCGATTATGTTGTAAATATTATGCTAATTGTATCAATGGCTCTTCATCTGTATTTAATGATCATTTGAATCAATATAAAGACATGGATTCTCAAATCATAAATGGAAGTGAAAATGAAAACGATGAATTGGTTGAAACACAATCAAATGGGTCCTGTTAATCAAATGAATGATCAACTGGAATCAAATCATCATCTCAATCAATTGAAATAATCAAAAATATTTGGTCAACTCTCAGTTTCAAATATATTGAAATTGAACAAAATGAGACTGAAACTACTCAACAAAATCCAATAATGATTGGTAACTAAATGATCAAGGATCACTTTCATGAATCCTGATTACAAACAAATCTACTTAGAAATTAATGTTCAATTGAACAGTTGATTAATCAAACCTAAATTTAAAAGAGTTGTATTATCAACACAATAAAACGTAAGTAACCATCTCAATTGAATCTGTATGAATATCAATACTAATTTATTTTCTGGTTTCATTTCATTTTCACAGACAAAATCTCCATTCTCAATACAATTACAACAATAACAGTTAACTTGGAAGGTTAATTGTTAAAAGGATTGTCAAAACAAAGTTGTAATCTTTAATTTAACTCTTCCTTTGCTTTTGACACAAAATCATCATTTGTATAAATTAATCAATTGTAATTTAATATTATTATATTTAATAACGAATTGAAATACTTAATAAATTTCAATAAACTCAACATTCGTCTTGAAACTTTTGACATCAAATGAACTTTAATTTCACCTTGTAATGATATTTCCTTAAAATCATAAAGTTGTTCATATTAATCACAATTACAGTTCAATGTTATCTTAATTGGCGATCAAAACGTTTAGCAAAAATCGTTAAAAAGTTTAAAAATTAAAGTCAAGTTTGATTTAAAACTGATTCATTTACTGAGAAAACTTAACATCTAATCATTCAATCCTAAATTCAGACAACATTAAATTTTCAAATTGTATTAGAGGCTTAGGTAAGTCTCGATGCTCGAAATGAAGTAGACATTTTTTCAGCTCATTTTCTTGATAATCTTTTATCTGATTTTATCTAGATTCTTGTTAAACAATTTATAAAAATTAAGCCATTTTATGCTAATTGGAAGGCCTCGAATTTAAATTAAGAAAACCTTCGTTTATGTAAAACAATAAAACGGTAATTTATCGCTTAAATTTACGTAAAATAGTGGCCTTTTTAGAGATTTTAGGCCAAAAATAAAACAATTAAAGTTCATCGATACTTGAGGTAGTATGGCTATCATTGGAAACAAGAAGATCATCGAGACTTACCATATCACCTTATAGCAACAATTTAGACAAAATTAGACAATAATTCATAGTTTCGCACTGATATTGCTAAGGAATTGTCTAGCATTTCCGTTTACAAAGGTAAGATTATTAATTTACTTTCACTTACCTATCAGTTTCCGGTAATTAATTCAACATTTCATTAGACTGTGAATTACCTCAATGGGGGAGAGTTTAATGTAGTGAAACAATTAATAGCTTCATCAAAGTGAACATTTAATGAACGGTAAAAGCATTTCATTTACATTCACAATTGCCTTTTGATGAGGTTTACATAATATTTCAGTGTTCACATCACTCCAGTCAGTTTTCATGGACAATTTGATAGTTCAGACATCTATTTGACTAGCAATCTAATTGATCAACTGCCATAAAATCTGACTAAAATCAAATTGTTGTTAATTTTTGTTAAACTTGAACATCGCGCTCTTTACCCTTTTAACGCTTCCCATTTTGTTTTCCCCCTTAGCATGACTTGCCATTTGACCGGTTAACGTCTTTAAGCTTTACGGTTATTTTATGTTAAATTTATACTAATTGTTAAGCAATTATGCTTCCAATGTTAATAATTTTCTATGTTGATTAATAGTTCCTGTGTTAAGTGTGGTCGGTTCATTTACTGAAAATATCTGTTCTGAAATTGTTTATTAATAGTGTTCAATGAAAGGTTTCTGGTGTAACTGTAATGCCTTTTGTTTTTTCTTATATTCAATGGATCTTACATTCTGGACTTTGAGGACTTTATTTTGAAATTGTTTATGGTTTTAACAAGCATGTAAGTGAAATTTGATTTGACAGGTAATCCAATGATTGGCTTCAACTATTGATTGGTGTGATAAAATCTTCAACAATGATCTTTGATCGGGAATGTTTTCTTGTTCAATCCTTCCTTTCCAGATCTCAATTGAGTAATCAAAGGATATGTTGTTGATGTTTGTAGCATTACATTAAAACAAACATCTTCAATGGTTAAATTGAATTTAATTAATCATTTATTTTTCCTTCCATCTATTTTTAGGTTGTAGTTGAAAGTCACCAAGAAGAGCTCATCATGAAGGAAACAAGAAAAATGTCTAACTCAATGAAAGTAAATGTCATTTATTATCATAATGACGATCAAGATATAACCGATAACCAAGTTAGATGATGCCACCGACATGTTCCCAATGTTAAAAGTTAAAAGTAATTAACATCTCAATCGTATTCTGTTTACCTGATTGTTATTTTATTACCTTAGGTACTGACTACTTTACTAACTGGAATCACACGGTTAAAAGCTAAAGAAAGAAAGAGAAACCTAAAGCGTTGTCAAAGTCAAGCCTTTTTTGCCAAAAATGTATACCAATGGTGGAAACCTTATCGGCAAAAGTAAACAACTTTGTCCAATAAAGTCTAAACAAGAACAATGTTCTGTTACCCGTTAGCAAAATAAAGCTTATCTTTAAAGCGTGGAGAAAAATCTTGTATCTGGTTAACGAAATCAAACAACAAGGAAACAAGAAGCACTTCGTCTTGTTGTGACAGTCATGTTTCATTTTTTGACTCTTGATTATTCCAACACGTCTATTTCAACCTGATTACCATCTGATAAAAAGTTGCTACATTGAAATTTTGGTTTTACCCTTTGATTCAAGCAATTTGCTACGTTGTATCCGATTAGATATTGACTGAACAATTGTGCAAACATAAGGAGAAGGTGAAGAGGATTAATCTCTGTATGAAGATGATTTACTTTCAATATTTGCCTAATGCTCTTCAATTAACTATCTCATCGGTTTTTTCATATTTAACAGGTTGTCAACAAGAACTTGAATCAAAAGCAAACCAGATTAACTCTTATTGAATGTGAAATCAAAATTATCGATGTAAAAAATCATTTGGTCGATAAAGTGCGGAGGCATGAAAATGCATTAGCATTCAAACACCAATCATACCAAAATTGAATGATTACTTAGCTGACGATGATCATGAAGATGATACCAAACCAAAAGTGGAAGAGTTAATAATTTTCAACATCTTCACAATGATTATTAATAGAAATCTTGAAAATAATTGACTTACTTTTGTCTTTTCAGTGCTAAGTCTTTTCACTTGACAAGTTCAAAAAACTAAATTGTAAAAGTTGTTCAAAAAAAGGAAATCAAATCATGTTAACCGATGTTTTCTGACTCTACTTACGCTCTGTATTAATTGTTGATGTAACAGGAATCAGGTTAAGAATCATGTAACATTGCTAATTGATAATCCTGTATTTGAAGAGGGATTAAATTAACGATTTAGAAGCGAATTAATTAGATTAAATAATGTTGTTCCAATCATCTTTAAAATTGTATTTGACGGTTGATTATCCCTAAAGGGGGTAAAGCCTATAAGGTGTAAGTGTTACCTGAGTTTTGGGTTGTAATAAAATATAAACTGTTGAACATTGGAACGAGTAATTATTTTAAAATTTGAAATATATTTTACATGAAAAGGGATTGTTAATCTTGTCAATCAACTGTTGTAGATGTTGTTTCAATTAAAAATGCTTTAGACCAGAAAATAAACTCAAATTTTTCCATTTAATTGGCCATTTTAATTCAGTTTAACTTTTACAGTTTTAATCTTCAACAAAATTGTAACAAATTATTAGATGACAAAAATTGAGTCTCTACTTATTTACCTTTCAGACCTTATAAACCTTAACCATTACAGTTGAGGTTGATACAAATTAGATTAACTTTGACAAAGGCAAAGAAGTAAAAACATGTTGATTAACCCAAAGGTTACTCCAATTGAGGTTAACCTTATCATGAAGAGTTTCAAGTAATTCTGGTTAAAATTGACAATTAGGTTGAGATATTAACAAATGGTGTTAAACATATTTCCATCATCAGCAGTAACTTACGTCGATTCAATTATTGATCAGTTAATGAGCCTAATGAACGATCGCAAAAGTTTGATCAAAATTGAGTTTGTACAGGGTGTTGATAAATGAACTTTAGACGCTTCTTTTTTTATGGTTCATGCAAATAGAACTTTTTAATCTTTTATTTTGTTAGTCCCGTGTGTAGATTGATTCATTATAAGTTGCTTTGATTCTGTATCAAACATAGGCGATTCTAGGGGCTAACAACCAAATCTTGAAAAGTTTATTTTTAGATTCAAACAGTCGTTTATGAACAGTTTTATGTAATTTTTTTCGTTCTTTGGTGCAATTTAGTTTTTTTGATTGTTCTCTCTGTTTTACACAAAATCATGGACAAACAGATTGTTACTTTACATTCATGTCACTAATGAGTAGTTCATAATGCTAATGAGGTTATTCGAAGATTTTCGAAGTTTTATCAAAATCGATTTATTAACACCCTGTATAATGATTATAATGATTACTGTGTTGATGAACAAGTCGACCTTTATTAAAGAGTTAAAGTCATTATAAGGGCGCTGGGCATTAGGGTAATATGATGATAATGTGATGATGATGATCGTGAAGAAGACCTGATAAAAGTAGATTTTTGCTTTGCTAAATAATCGATAAGTAATGTTGATAGATCAGCAGAACAGTTAAGCTTCATCAATTTAATCAACCCTAAGACTGAATCGTTTCCTTTTCCTTCATCATCCTTTCCTGACTTTACTTAATCAAATTGTCTCTCTCTCTCTCTCAACATTCACATTTATCATCTGCAAATCTTCAACCTAGCCAACCATCATCATCAAACGTTACCATTTGTACATTATATTAATACAAAAGGCAAATGATAAGTTAAAGTGAAAGGGTCTTAAAGTCCATGTATTAAAACAGGAAGAGCAAGAAAAATGTCCAACAATGAAAACATCTTTCACTCTTTCTATCATCCAATTTTGCATCTCTCATCCTTTTTCCTCCTCCTCATGATTACTTACCTTCACTTTTATCAAAAATCAAGATGAAGTTAACCAAAAATATAAACCATTAATACCAACCAATATCAATATCACAATAATGGAAATGATGGAAATGTAAATTTTCCTGATAAAAGACACACGAACCACTTTACGACCCAACTTGGGTGACTATCTCTGAATGTAAAATGTCTTATGACCCGACCAAATTGACATCAACCGAGCATCAAAAATTTCATTGAATTTAACAATCAAAAGATGCAAAATTATTTCAACGTAAAAGGCCTTTATTGTGTGCTTCTTTGACCTGACTCGGTTGACTCTGTTAGGTTGCAAATGACTTGTCATTGGGCTTGGAAAAAGATGAAAATCTTTTTCTCTTTTTCTTGTCATTCAACTTTTCCTTTCATCTTTTCTCTCTCCATCTTATTTTATCATCATTATTCATCTTTCCTTTCATCCAAAGATGCTGAAAAAAAACAAAATAATGAACTCACACAAACCAATTCTCATGATCATCTTGTAATAATGGAAACTGTGAAAATAAAAGATGATGATGAGTCCATCAATCCTTTCATCCTTCGTGGTTGGTAATCATCATTATCTTAACCTTACCCAGAACAATATCAATACTGTAAACATGGTAAAACCTGTAAACCCTTTACAAATAAACGTTAACAATATCAATATTGACAACTTTGGTTGAGAAGTTGATTAAATGAAGAAACTCTTGATTGATAATTGTTGAATGAATAAAAAAACAAAGTTACAATTTTCAATTACATTGAACCGTTTCAACTGGTCTCAACGCTCAAGGTGCATTAACCGACATTAATCAGTTGTGTGATGGTGTGATAATTTGATGAACCCATCATGATGAGGAAGACAAAAGTGAAATTATCATGATTCATTGAAATAAACAATTCATCTTCGTCTGTTAATCAGCAGGAAAAGTGTAAGAAAAGGACAATCTTCGAACCCAGAAAAATCCTCTTAATTGGCATATTCAACTTGAAATATGCAAAGTGATTAACCTGATCAGTTCCTGCACTTGAATACCTGTTTTCAGGGGAAACACTTTCAATCCATTTTTCGTTCTCATTGTTCATCTGATTGTTTCAATTGATCTCTCATGATAGATTAAACTTACATGGGTTTGCCTTGAGCTTAACCCATAAGGTTTGTTTCCGTCAGTTGCAAGTATCAATCAATATCACCATGAAAATGCACCAAATGAAACACTTTTTATCGTTCAACCTTGACAATCAAATGGTTTTCAATTAATCATGATTTATCTCTTGTTTTACCCTGCAATGTTCACCATTTAACGGGCTTGTTAGTTGTAATTAAAAAAAGTAACTTTTCTTTTTTTCACTTCAATTTAACTCTTTAAGTATTTTCGTGCTTATTATATGTGTTAACATAATTGATGAGGTTTCAGAATCGGGTTTTCCTTTGATAATAATAGGAATCAAAATTGAATCTTTTTTTCAATTTCATTCAACCAATTTAATCTTTAAATGAATGCTGCTTTTTTGTGGTTTAAAAGGTAATTTATGAAAACTGAAATTGCATCCAATTCAATGTTATTAATGGCTATTAGGTTTAAGGAAAAAGGTTAATTGTTTTCGTTTTTTTTTCTTGCTACCTTTGCGGTTTAATAAGCAACAGTAAATATTTTGATTGAAACTACATCAAGGATAAGTTTATTTGAGTTTAGTTTTTTTTGCATCAAATTCATTCGAATGATTACCATCTGATTTATGGCATTTCAGGTGAGCTATAAACAGCTTCGAAGCATTATTCGACTTCTAAAGATTGATTTGTCAGTTATGCTGAGATTACATTTCAAGTTGAATAATGCTTTTGCTCATTCGCATTCTATTATACACAATGCATAGTCAGAATCGCTAGCTTATTGAACATTACAGCTGTTTTAGATTAATTTGGTGTCACAATAATTATGCGAAGTAAGCCGATGACTGATTAATCTTGAGTAAGTAAACTGAGAGAACCTTTGAGCGGGAAAAGAGTGCCAAAAATATGACCTCAAATCGGCATATAAATGTGTGATAGTGATTTGTTAGGATTAAATAAACTTCTTTATTAACTGAATTCAATTGAAACTGAAGCAATAAACTCGGGTCACTTTGTTGCAAAATAACTCGATAATGAGCATTAAACAGTCGTCAGTTAGATCGGTGCTTTACAAATATCAAAAAATTGAACACATAAAGTATGACATTGATTATTATGCATTTGGTGAAACATGAATATTAGTCCAAATAAGCATAAAATAATATCCACACCTAAATGTAAATGTTATGAGTAAAATGTTTATTAGAGCCAAATCAATTTTAATCATTCGTAGATGGTAAAACAATTAGTCACAACTGTATTGTTGCAAAATAACACAATCAAGATGTTTTAGCATCCATGAGATAATAAAAATCTTATTATAAGATACAGCATTTGAACTTTGACAACCTAGAATCTAAGCTAAAGGGTCGTTAATGAAGAATGACACTAAATTCAAATGGCACGGTTTTTGGACAAGAATGTTGGAAAAATAAAAGGTTGCCTTTTCTGATTGATTCAATACCAAAATTAGACTTAATTTCGTGACACAAGTATGCTAAATAAGGCCAAAAAAGCTCTCAAAAGAGTAATTTCAAAATCATCGAAAAAAGTAGCTAGTCGTTTAGCCCTTAATCCAATGGAAAGTGTTTCATCAAAAATTTTGAAAACTCTTAAAAATAGTGTATGCAATGTTTAATAAAGATTGCGAGTTCTATTTATCTTCTAAACAATCAGTTTCTCTATAAAGACTCAATTAATTTTCATTGCGAGACTATATTAGGGACCCCTTGTCTCTGATTGTAGAAAAAAATGGATGAAATCATGGGAAAAGTAGCTAGCCGTTCTGGACTTAATGAAAGTTGTTCGCACAAAATTTTTGAAAACTTCTAAAAAACTCTATGCAATGTCTTATAAAGATCGCGTGTCCAATTTATCGATTTAATAATCAATTTTCCTAAAAAAATTTATTTCTTAGGGAAAGCTTATCTAACTCAACTAGACAAACTGAAGAAACCTAGATTGAAGGTTAGCCTGAATCAGATTTGATTAATTGAATCAACTTCAAAACTTTGTTGCATTTATATCCATTCAAAATAAAGTCAAGTTAAACTTTAATGTTAAAGTAAATTTTCAAACATTTTGGATAAAACTTTGAATGAATATCATTTCTTGGCGAGTCTGAACAAAAGTAGGCTTCAAATGTTACAGAGTTGTCATGTTATTGCAAGTCAATTCAATTTGATTTGCTCTTCTTTAGGCCATTCAAATACACTTAATCAGGGTAATGTAATTGGCTAAACATGGTTATACAGTTTGATCAGGAAAACATTTCAAGTTGAACATTCTGATGTTGGGTGTATTCAATGGTTGATACATTGTGTTGTTACAAGCAGCATAATTAACGTTGTAAGGTTTGATTATGATTAAACAAGGTAAAACCTAATTAATCTCTAACAGTGTTAAAACGAAACAACAACAAAAATAAACCGCATAACCTGAATGCTGTTAACCCTTTCCCATCATTAAGATAATCAAGATTATCAAACAAATTAAGGTCTGTTGACAAGGGGCCAAACCTTTTGATCCCAAAAAGAAACCAACTTTTTCCGTAAAACTATTTTCAACCTTTTTAACATCATTATCAATACGATCAAGTAGCTTTCCATTAATTGTGTCTCATCACCATCATAAGTTAATTAGTGATCAAAGAGTTGCCTTTTTTGCATCCTTTCAGCTCTTCTCATTTAGATTTTTTGCTTCCACCAAAGGATGAACCAAAGCACAATTGAACCATTTTATATCATCATTAATAGCATCTCAATCCTTCAACAGGCTTGCTCATCGTCAAGTTCATCATTAAAATCATTCATAATGATTATGATCTTAGGGTTTGGTTAGCATAAGGTTCAAGCAAAAATGCAACGAAAATGGCCTTTTCTCCATTTGTTTACCGTCAAAATTGATTCAACTTTGATTGAAGTGAAATGGTCTACATAACTCGATGGGAGAAACTTAATGGTCAATGATAATGTCCAGTAATGTTAGATAATATTCCACTTTTAGACACCAAACAGTGTAATGAAGTTGATTGATTTTAAAGGTTGATTCATTGGCGTGAAAACGTATCATGTAATATGAAGGCCAGCAACAGCTTCGACACCTTTACGGAGATTTATTTCCAACTAATCAATGGGATGTTTGAAGCTAAAGGTAATAAAAAGTAAGGCCATAAATATCAACGGTCAAGTCAACTTGGAAAATGTTATTCTTCTTTGTCTAATGATTTACCAAAAAAAAAAGATTTTGATTTGGACAAGGATTGATCTGAATTGTTTTGATTTGATCACTTTTGGTATTGATCCATTTTATGTAACTAAGCTGACTGATATGCTTTTGAGACCTGCCGGGTAGGCACAGGTGGGTATTTGGTAAATGATGATTAGACAAAAATGTTGTTCAACTTACTTTTGGTAATTTCATTTTGAAATATTGGTCAAAGTTGACTTTTGCCTTTAGGGTAAAACTTTACAAGACCAATAATTGGAACTTGAGTGACTACAAAGTTACCCAATATGGATAATCAATGTTGGGTGATCTTTACCTCCTGCCGAGTCTTGACCAGTGTGTATCCGTGGTCATTATGGTAAACAACATACTGACAATGCTACCGTTCTTGTACTGTTATTTGAGCATCTTCATCACCTTTATCCCATAATGATCACCATTTAGTTCATCATATGGTCAAGCTATATCAAACCATAAAGAGTAAAAAACTCCATAAAGAGAGACTAATCAACATTAAATTTTTTGTTTCATTGCCTAAGCAAGTCAAGAGCCATACAAGGAGAAACTTTCATGCTAACAAAGTCACACTTGTCCGGTCAAAAAGGCTTCCTGCAATGGTCTTGTGTACGCCAATAAACTTTCAGCTAAACTTTCAGTTTAATTCAGAACATTTCATGAAAATTTGGCCAACCCATTATCGATAGTTATTTCATCCTATTAATAAATCACTCATATCCCGCCAAAAAATGATTATGATAGTCTTTTCTCCATTTTAAAGATAATATTTTGCTAACGGGTAACAAAACGTTTTTCTTGTTTAGACTTTATTGGACAAAGTTGTTTACTTTTGCCGATAAGATTTCCACCATTGGTATACATTTTTGGCAAAAAAGGCTTGACTTTGACAACGCTTTAGGTTTCTCTTTCTTTCTTTAGCTTTAAACCGTGTGTAGATTCCAGTTAGTAAAGTAGTCAGTACCTAAGGTAATAAAATAACAATCAGGTAAACAGAATACGATTGAGATAATTACTTTTAACTTTTAACATTAGGAACATGTCGGTGGCATCATCTAACTTGGTTATCGGTTATGTCTTGATCGTCATTATGATAATAAATGACATTTACTTTCATTGAGTTAGACATTTTTCTTGTTTCCTTCATGATGAGCTCTTCTTGGTGACTTTCAACTACAACCTAAAAATAGATGGAAGGAAGAATAAATGATTAATTAAATTCAATTTAACCATTGAAGATGTTTGTTTTAATGTAATGTAACAAAATCAACAACATATCCTTTGATTACTCAATTGAGATCTGGAAAGCAAGGATTGAACAAGAAAACATTCCCGATCAAAGATCATTGTTGAAGATTTTATCACACCAATCAATAGTTGAAACCAATCATTTAATCAACTGTCAAATCAAATTTCCCTTACATGCTTGTAAAAAACAACAACCATTTCAAAATAAAGTCATCGAAGTCCAGAATGTGAAATCTATTGCATAAAAATATAAGAAAAAAGGAAAGCCATTACAGTTAAACTAGAAACCTTTGATTACAGAACAGACTTTTCAGTAAATGAACCGACCACACTTAACACAGGAACTATTAATGAGCATAAAAGATGATTAACAATGGAAACATAATAGCTTAACAATTAGTATACATTTAACATAAAATAACCGTAAAGCTTAAAGACGTTAACCGGTCAAATGGCAAGTCATGTTAAGGGGGGAAACAAAATGGGAAAGCGTTAAAAGGGTAAAGAGCGCGATATTCAAGTTTAACAAAATTAACACCAATTTGATTTTAGTCAAATTTCATGGCAGTTGATCAATTAGATTATTAGTCAAATAGATGTCTGAACTATCAAATTGTCCATGCAAAGTGACTGGAATGATGTGAACACTGAAATATTATGTAAACCTCATCAAAAGGCAATTGTGAATGTAAATGAAATGCTTTTACCGTTCATTAAATGTTCACTTTGATGAAGCTATTAATTGTTTCACTACATTAAACTCTCCCCCATTGAGGTAATTCACAGTCTAATGAAATATTGAATTAATTACCGGAAACTGATAGGTAAGTGAAAGTAAATTAATAATCTTACCTTTGTAAACGGAAATGCTAGACAATTCCTTAGCAATATCAGTGCGAAACTATGAATTATTGTCTAATTTTGTCTAAATTGTTGCTATAAGGTGATTAGGTAAGTCCCGATGATCATCATGTTTCCAATGTCAGATAAAAATGGCACCAATGGTAAATGATAGCCACACTATCTTAAGTTTCGATGAACTTTAATTGTTTTTCTTTTGGCCTAAAATCTCAAAAAAGGCCACCATTTTACGTAAATTTAAGCGATAAATTATCAGTTTATTGTTTTACATAAACGAAGGTTTTCTTAATTTAAATTCGAGGCCTTCAATTAGCATAAAATGGCTTAATTTTTATAAATTGTTTAACAAGAATCTGGATACAACCCGATAAAATTTTTTTGAAAATGAGTTTAAAAAATGTCTTATGCATTTCGAGCATCGGGACTGACCTAAGCCTCTAATACAATTTGAAAAGTTAATGTTGTCTGAATTTAGGATTGAATGATTAGATGTTAAGTTTTCTCAGTAAATGAATCAGTTTTAAATCAAACTTGACTTTAATTTTTAAACTTTTTAACGATTTTTGCTAAACGTTTTGATCGCCAATTAAGATAACATTGAACTGTAATTGTGATTAATATGAACAACTTTATGATTTTAAGGAAATATCATTACAAGGTGAAATTAAAGTTCATTTGATGTCAAAAGTTTCAAGACGAATGTTGAGTTTATTGAAATTTATTAAGTATTTCAATTCGTTATTAAATATAATAATATTAAATTACAATTGATTAATTTATACAAATGATGATTTTGTGTCAAAAGCAAAGGAAGAGTTAAATTAAAGATTACAACTTTGTTTTGACAATCCTTTTAACAATTAACCTTCCAAGTTAACTGTTATTGTTGTAATTGTATTGAGAATGGAGATTTTGTCTGTGAAATGAAATGAAACCAGAAAATAAATTAGTATTGATATTCACACAGATACAATCGAGATGGTTACTTACGTTTTAATTGCGTTGATAATACAACTCTTTTAAATTTAGGTTTGATTAATCAACTGTTCAATTGAACAATAATTTCTAAGTAGATTTGTTTATGATCAGAATTCATGAAAGTTGTCCTTGATCATTTAGTTACCAATCATTATTGGATTTTGAGTAGTTTCAGCTTCATTTTGTTCAATTTCAATTTATTAATATTTGAAACTGAGAGTTGACCAAATATTTTGTATTTATTTCAATTGATTTAGATGATGATTTGATTCCAGTTGATCATTCATTTGATTAACAGGATCCATTTGATTGTGTTTCAATCAATTCATCATTTTCATTTTCCATATTATTTATGATTTGAGAATCCATGTCTTTATATTGATTCAAATGATCATTAAATACAGATGAGGAGCCATTGATACAATTAGCATAATATTTACAACATAATCGGCCATTCTGTTGATTAATTGGAAAAGGAAGAAGAAGAATATTAATTATTAATTATTATTAGAATATTTTTTGGGATAAAAATAGTGATATTCATGCAAAGGTAAAGTGATTTTGAGGTGTAAATAAGCATTTTGTGTTCTTGATATATGTGTGTGTTGAGTGAAGCTTAAGAAGCAGCAAAAAGTGCCAATGAATTGTAGATGATTATTATTATCATTATTGAATTAATTATTGATAATTGCTCATTTATCTCCATTACTCTAAACATGAACCGGGTGTGGCAAAAGTCATCTATTATTCGCTAACTGTGTTAAGTAGCAGCACCAAATGTTTTATGTTTTTTTTTTCGATTGCGATAATTTTCAGTTGAAAATTTGAATTTTGATAAAGGGCCAATTTTAGCGGGAAAGGTTAAGTATTTTTAATAAATGCTGTTATCCCAACAAAAAGACATCACAGCCGCTATATGGAACTGGTCAAGTGACACGAAGGGTCAAAATGACCTTGTAACGGAACCATAAAAGCGTAGGTAGAAAAACGTAGATTTTTGGCATTGACGGTTTTCATTCTGAAACAATTATCTGCATTATTCATGTCATTGAGGGTAAGCACTTCGAGCATATAATCAAATAAAACTCGAAGTAAAGTTGGAATAATTAAAACTTTTTCGCCATAACTCTATTGGTTCAGAAGTTATGCGTGAAGATATGCTACAGATGACTTTTGCCACACCTGGTATAATTTGTACTCTAAACAGATGATTGTAAGAATATACTTTTGAACTAATTCAATGTTTTGTTTTCAAGTTTAAACCAACTATTATTATTGTAATAACAATGTAATTGTATTTTTACTATTAACAGTAATATTCATTGCAATAGCATAACAAGCACAACAGGCGGTTAACATATTTTTTGTTTAACATCTGTTTATGATAATGACTTGGGTTACCATAATAGTTGATTGTTGTTTACAGAGATGATATGAAGTCTTGCACGTATTGCACGTA